ACCTCAACGTACACACACACACACAAAGCAATTTCGCCGAGTCTCATGCCTCACCCTTGACGAGGATTGGGTTCTGTATTGTTGGATAAAATTGCATGAGTGCGCGTTTGGAACCGTGCATAAATAACAAGTATAACCCGTAAAAACAAAGTTTTTCACTATAAATCCTTTATATGCGTGGCGGCTAGAGTCCTCTCGTCCTCTGGCTTGAGATGGCTGCCACCTATGGGTCAGATGATTGCCTGCCACCATTAAGCAATTGGTAACTAAATATAATTTATTTTTGTCCTAAGAAGTGTACAATTCTTGAAAAAATTTTTCACGAACATTAATTGTCACGCACAACGAATCTGTGTGCAAAATGTCAGCTCGATTGGATCACGGGAAGTGGGTTAAAAAACGACCTAAAGATTTGCACGGTCGTAAGCAAGCAAGCGAACTTAATATAAAGGATTTAAAAAGGGCACGTGGCGAGACTCCGACGGGCAGTTGCGTGACACGCGAACTATTTTGCGAAGTGACTCGCAGCGATTTTGTGAAACTAAGATAATATAAATCGGCGTCCCCCTGCCACCCACTGCCAAACACGCTACAGGACTGCCCTTTTAAGAGTCTCGAAACTTGGTAAAGCTTTCCCGGGTAATCAAATTGGGCGAATTTGGCGGTGCACCGGTGCAGCATAAAGCACCGCTCCTCATGAAACAGTCACACAAATATTAATCACAAATTGAATCGGCAAATCTGTTTTAATAAAAAAAAGGTCACAACATTATCATGGCACGCTTTTTTTGCCAGTATCAAAGTATGCAAAATAAGAATATGTTCTATCCATACCGGCTCTTTCGGTAAAGTCACGTAGTTGGAAATAAAATAAAACAATTCACGACGTTTCGATCGCAACACAAGCGGTCTTGATCAGGTGGAGAGAGAGACCTTGCTGGTAAGACCACCTCTTCTGTTCTTAATTCTTACCAGTGAATGGCTGCGAGGTCTCTCTCTCTCTCGACCTGATGAAGACCGCGTGTGTTGCGATCGAAACGTCGTGATTTGTTTAATTTTATTTTATTTCCAACTACGTGACTTTACCGAAAGAACCAACGAGTATGGGTTCCTGCAGTGACGAAAGCTTCAAATCAAGGTGTTACGATGTTTCAACACCACATAGATACCTCTTGCAAGGAATGAAGTCTGCATCAACCATACACAGTACTTGTGGTGAACATGTAAATAAAACATGCTCTGATAATAGAAACATTGTCTTTGTAACTGATTGGACTACATCAGAGATAGCAGCCTTCTTTATGGCCTGGTCTCACTTGTGTCAGAGCAGAGAACGCCAAAAGGCGAACAACACAAAGGCAATGCACGTATCAGAGCATTTACAGCTCTGGGGCGAGCAGCTATAGCTGACCGTTGATTTGGGTCCGTTGTATCGAGGAACTGTCCGACCAATTCTACGGCACGAGTCAAATCTTGTCTTTGGAACACGGAGGCAGCCAATAGACATGAGGGCTGGGTGCTGCTGCAACACGGCAACAGGATCTGAAGCTTCGTGTTCAGCTGCTTGTAACGTTTATCTTCCGACCGACATCACGAGAACTGATTTTTGATGCACACCCCACAAGATTTGCTGACCGGGGTTGTGTATCGTGGGAAAATAAATGACTGCGATTTTTTTGTTAATACAGCGCACCGGTTGACCGCCAATACGTTAAAATGTTGTAATAAACACATTCTTGCGGAGGGAGCTGGTAGGAACGTTGGGTTGCTCGGTCAATGACCAGAGTCAACGGCGGCGTGGTGTATTCCGCAAATATGCCCGACTATGAGGGCGGGCACAAGCCGGCGTGAGTAGGTTAAAGTTTTATAAGGGCACCACGGGGTGACCAGCCCCTCCCCACCCAGCCCCACCCCTCTCACCCCCCACTCAACCCCACCCTCCCCACCCAGCCCCACCCTCCCAAACCCAGCCCCACCCTCCCCACCCTCCCCACCCTCCCCTCTCCACCCATCCCAACCTCTCCCATTGTTTGATGCACGACGGACGGACAGAATAATATAATACTAATGACCACCTCGCAGCACCCAAGACTACAACACCTGCCAAGCTCTGGTGATGGTCACCCATCCCAAGTGCTAACCACGTTTAAACCCAGCTTAGCTTTTAGAGATCTGGCGAAGCCGGTCGCATCCATTGAAAGCGAAGTTATTGCCATTTTCTCCAGAATGCTTCGTTTGAAAATAAACTCCCACGTGCTCGCTCCTAAGCTTGGAGCAAGACACACGTGATCAAAACAATTACCAACGTATCCATTATCGTGCATCATTATTATGACTGCTTAATTGGGAAGGACAAGCCGCTAGAAGCGGACGGTGACCGCTCAAGTTTAACCAGGCGAGGCGAGATCCGAGATCATCAAGAGACCCCCGGTGACTTGAGGGGGCGGAGGGAGGCGGGGGAGGGCCCCTTTGGACAGCCGGTAGAGGGCGATGATAGCAATGGACACATTCTAGATTTGAAGTTTTCGTGACTGCAAGGATTCATATTCTTAGATTTTTTCGGTAAAGTCACGTAGGTAAAACATTAAAATTAATAAAAGTAAAATAAAATAAAAATCACGACGTTTCGGAGGCAACACAAGCTTCCGTCTTCAGGTGGAACCGTCACAGCCACGACAGCTGTATCAAGTAAATGAGAGATTGCAAGAGCTACCACTCCGTATATATAATGGTTGGAGAGGGGGGAAGGGCCAAGTACGGCACACTTTTTATTCATATGGTAAGGTGAGGCTAACAATAGTGTGAAAAGGAGAAAACAACTAAACATGGTAAAACAAGCCTGGCTGTCTATCAATAACCTGGACACATTCGTTTTGGTTCTTTCGGTAAAGTCACGTAGATGGAAAATAATCAAATGAAAATAACAAAATTAATTTAGTTATTTTCATTTAAATAATCATTCAAATAATTAAATGAAAATAACTAAATTAATAACTAATTACATTTGTTTTCATCTATGTGACTTTACCGAAAGAACCAAAGAGTATGGATCCTTGCAGTCACGGAAACTTCAAATCTAGAATGTACACGATTAGTAGGGCTGAACGATTAATCGATTTCAAATCGAAATTTTAAACAATGCGATTAGCATATCGCAAAGGCTATGACTTTTTTTTCATTCAGACGCTGTCTTTCCGACAGACCTGTTCTTCACCTGAGGACGGCTGCTTGCGTTGTGGCCGAAACGTCGTGATAATTGTATTTTATTATGTTTTATTATTTTATTATTTCCCTTCTACGTGACTTTACCGAAAAAACCAAGAAGAAGATCCTATTACTTTCTTATTGGAATTTTTTACTATTTTATTATCATAACTTTATTTATTTTACTTAACAATTGTTCTATGTTTGATTAATAAATACATGCTGGAAACAATTCATATATTTTAAGTTCTCATCCTTGCATTAGAATATATAGAGCAGTTCATATTGTGATGGTATCATGTGGTAATGCTCCATCACATGTTTTAAATCTATTACACAGTGAATATTGAACTGAAGCTTGACTTAAAAATGTTTGATCGCAAATCAAATCGCAATCACATCTGTCAGAAAAATCGCAATTAAATATTTCCCCCACATCGTTCAGCCCTACACATTAGTTCCCAATTGCCATGTACCCCTTCAAAAGTAATGGGTGATTTTTTGTTTGAAGTATAGGAGCCCGATGCCGGCACACAACGGCCGACCCTTGCGAGTGAGCGACCGTCAAGGGATCTTTAACCGTCCAAGCGGCACGTTCTGGTACGGCTATTACAACCGCAGTAGGACATCATATGATCGAGAAGAATAACGGAGTAATAATCCTGATTTGAAGCTTTCGTGACTGCAGGAATCCATACTCTTTGGTTCTTTCGGTAAAGTAACGTAGGTAGAAATTAAATAAAACAAATATAAAAATAAAATAATATTTTTATTTTATTTTATAAAATAAAATAATATTTTTATTTTATTTTATTTCTAACTACGTGACTTTACCGAAAAAACCAAAGAGTAATAACGAAGTAACAACGCAGCCAGGTCGCTTTTGAACAATAAGTTAATAACTCAGTGGGCTTTGTCTGGTAGGATTGGGATGGTTTCGTTTAATTTGTATGTGTCTGGGTGATTTGTTTACCCTTCTTGGTATCGTTTGTTGTTGTGACGTTGTGACGTTCTTACCCGTCCCGACTGGACACCTGTGTAAAAAGAGCTTTACAGCTAATCGGATTCCTCCTGCAGTATAAATAAACATTACGAGTGATTCTGATGAGGATCGCGACGCGCCGCGAGTTGAGCAGTTGACGCGTGTCGCGATATTCTGAAACGGAAGCGGAGTTCCGAAAATAAAGAGAGAGAGAGAGAGCGAGAACTCCACGAGAGAGAGAGAGCACGCCACGAGAGAGAGAGAGCACGCCACGAGAGAGAGAGCACGCCGAGAGAGAGAGCGAGAACTCCACGAGAGAGAGAGCAAGCATGCCACGGGAGAGAGCACCACGCCGAGAGAGAGCACAACACAAGAGAGCAAGCAAGAGCGAGCACGCCACGAGAGAGAGAGAGGGGGAGCGAGCATGCCACGAGCAAAAAGCAACCGCGCCCATTGGCCACGCGGTGGGATCAAAGCGGATGCGTGTCAGCCAATCGGGAGGCGACGTTGCTCGCGGGTGTGTGGGGAGGAATTGATGGTGGGGGGAGTAGGGAGGAATGGGGAGGGGAGGAATGGGGCGGGAGGGTTCGGGGAGGGGGTAGGGGAGGAGGGGATAGGGGGTTAGGGGAGGAGGGGATAGGGGGGGTGTGTAGGGGAGGTGGGCCCTGCCTGTCTTCGTAGGGGTCCGCCCTGTGCCCGCGTCACATGTTGTTTTGCTCCAATGTTGCGTCCTCGGGAGAGAGCGGCGCTTGGTGATTTCTGCTTCGCTCGCCCAGCCTCTCCGCCACTCGCGAGCCAAAGACGAAAGGGAGCAGGGGAAAGGGGAGGGGGGGTTGTTGGTGCAGTCAAGAGAAGCGCACGCATGGCCGAGTACCTTGTCTGCCTAAGGGTATAGAGTCAGACAGAGCGAGAGAGAGAGATAGGTACTTGCTAGCCACCGTGGGTAGGTAATTGTGTTTGCCCCGTGTTTGTGCGTTGGCTCTGTAGCTTTGGGGGTAGGCGACACGGCACAGGTGGGAACTCTGATGAGATTTGGAAGCGACGCAGGGCGCGTATGCGTCTCGTGCACTCCACTCAAACTGCTACTACCTACACACAGCGTGTGCTCACAACTACAACTACTACTGCTGCTGCTACTTACTGCCACTGCTGAGAAGAAGAGAAGCAGCTACGTGTTCTCGCTCGCATTGGCGGGGCATTAACGAAGCCAGCTACCCCGTTACCGGTGGACTTTATCTTTTTTTTCACCATCAACCACGATCATCATCATCATCCGGTCGTTGACCGAGCTTGCTTTTGGGGTGTAAAACCCAAAAGGCGGCGCAGAACGAGCCATGGCCAATCCACCACCGCCCGAGCTGCAGTCCGCCACGGACGTGCTCAAGTGCGGCTACCTGCGCAAACAGAAGACGACTCACAAGCGCTACTTCGTGCTGCGCGCTCCCGACGACTCGTGCGCCGCGGGTCGCCTCGAGTACTACGAGAGCGAGCGTAAGTTTCGCCACAAGTCAGCGCCCAAGCGCGCCGTGTCGCTCGACTCGTGCTTCAACATCAGCAAGAGGGCCGACGCGCGCAACAAATTCATGGTGGCTCTCTACACCAAGGATGAGTACTTGGCCGTGGCGGCGGAAAACGATCAAGAGCAGGACGCATGGTACCGGGCGATAACAGAGCTCCACGCGCGTGGGAAGGCTATGCAGCAGCAGTGCAACGACCACCACCACCATCATCATCACCATCATCACTCCCATCAGCAGCTGCAGCAGCAGCAGCAGCCGTCGCTGTACCCTCACGCCGAGAGCGGCGGCGAGAGCGGAGGCTCAACACACGCCGGCGACGATGTCTACGGGGCGATTGCGCCTTCGTCGGCCTTCAAGGAGGTGTGGCAGGTGAACCTGAAACCCCGCGGGCTGGGCCAGACGAGAAGCATGTTCGGCGTCTACAGGCTGTGCCTCTCGAGCCGCAAGATCAGCTTCGTGAAGCTCAACAGCGAGAAGCCGGACGTTACCCTGCAGCTCATGAACGTGCGGCGCTGCGGTCACTCGGAGAGTTTCTTCTTCATCGAAGTGGGCCGCTCGGCCGTCACGGGTCCCGGCGAATTCTGGATGCAGGTGGAGGACTGCGTGGTGGCGCAGAACATGCACGAGACCATCCTGGAGGCCATGAAGGCCATGAGCGAATTCTCCGAGTTTCGCCCGCGCAGCAAGAGTCACTCCGCCAGCAGCTCGAATCCCATCTCCGTGCCGCCCAGACGCCACCTCAACAGCCTCCCGCCCAGCCAGACGGGGCTGTCGCGTCGCTCCCGCACTGAGAGCGCAAACAGCACCCATGGGGCTTCCTCTCCGGCCGGCGGCGGCAACAACAACAACAACCCGGCATCGGCCGCCACCACCACCATCACCAACATCACCAACATCATCAGCCACAGCAGCAGCAGCAGCAGGCATCCGCTCAACGGAGGCGTTGGAGGAGCGGCAAGCGCGCACAACTTCAGAGCGCGCACCTCGAGCGAAGGGGAGCGGACGATCTTGACGTCCAGACCGAGTTCGGTGACCGGTAGCCCCGTGAGCGTTAGCCCCACGCCTCCTCGCCTGCAGCAGCAGCAGCAGCTTAATCAGCAAGGGATCCGGGGATGCCTCGGTGGACGCACGACGTCTCGCCTCCAAGCGGCCCCCATCCACAGCCGTTACGTGACCGTGCCGGCACCCGGCGCGTCGCAGCCTCCGTCGTCGGCAGTGAGCCCCGTGAGCTGCGCATCGTCCACTTCGCCGTCATCCTCGGGGCCCAGCAGCGGCCGGGGGTCGTCGGCGAGCGACGCCTTGTTGCTGCTGTACGTGAAGGTCAACAGCGGTGGCCTCGGTCTCGGTGGCGGCGGCGCGGCATCGGCGTCAGGGTCACCCAGCGACGGAGGATTCGCGTCCTCGTCCGACGAGTACGGATCGAGCCCCGTGGACGCGAGGAGACATCAGGGCCTCGTGCACCGGAGCGCCACCCCCGAGTCTCTGAGCCGCACGCCGCCACCCATCCGAGAGGAGCAAGACGATGATGGGCACAACCTCCATCACCACCAAATGCATCAGCAACAAGTCAACAACTACATTAGCATGGGCAAGTCTTGCGCGCAAAATGGACACCACCACCATCACAATCACCACCACCAGCAGCAGCTGCACAGAGAAGTCCTCCTAGCCAGGCGCGCGTCTCAGGATGAAAATGCGAGCGCCGCGGAAGGCACGTCGGACCTGTCCGGGGTTGTCCACCGTAAGCGCACCTACTCCTCCTGCACGTCGCCCCCTCCGCCTCCTCCGCCGGCAGCGCAGTCCACCACCGGTGTCCAACAACAACAGCAGCAGCGCAAGCCCTTGGACGACTACGCGCTCATGAACGCGGGCAGCCTCACGAGCAGCGGCAGCGGCAGCAGCTACACGGGCAGCAGCTACACGTCGCGCTCCGCCTCGCCGAGGCCCCCCGCAGGTCCTTCGACTCCGCAGAACTCGCAGGCAGCGCACCTACAGCGCTCGTACCCGGAGGACTACGGGGAGATCCACGTGGGCAGCTGCCAGAGGCCCGGAGCGACCTGCAAGGATGACGGCTACATGCCCATGTCGCCCGGTGTGGCTCCCGTCCCGACGTCTTCGTCATCTTCCTCGTGCTCCTCCTCGCAGTCTATCGTCTCGAGCTCCACCACCGCCACCTCCTCCTCCATGACGCTGAGCACACCGGGTGGTGGTGGCGGTCCTTCGGACGACTACGTCCCCATGAGTCCCAAGAGCGTCTCGGCCCCGCAGGAGATTCTGAACCCGCGGCGTCGCCAGGAGATCACCGATCCCAGTGGCTACATGGTCATGTCTCCTGGAACCAACAACGGCAGCTGCTCGCCCGAGTGCAGCCCCTACATGAAGATGTGGAGCAGCTCCAAGCTGTCCGTGTGCAGCGCCGACGGCAAGGGCGGAGGAGACGCTGGCTGCGAGTACATGAACATGTCGCCTGGCCTGGTGGCAGGCACCCCCCCGGACTACTTCTTCACGCCGACCAGCGCCGAGCCCCCCAAAGTGAACTGCTACTACTACTCGCTGCCACGCTCCTTCAAGCCGGGACTGCGCAAAAACGGAGACGGCTCAGCCAACGCTGCCTCGGCCGGCGCCGGCGGCGGCGGCGCACGTTTCAGCCCGGGCAACTTGACCGAGAGGCAGCTGTTCGGAGGCGACAAGTCGTCCTCCACGAGCAGCGACAGCCTGGGCCACGACCCCGATCAGCCGGTGGCGAGCGGCAGCAGCCCCACCGCAAGCGGCGGTGGCATCACGAAAGCCGAACCTCGCAAGGTCCAGCAGCAGCAGCAGCAGCAGCAGCAGGGGATGGTGAGACCCACGCGTTTGTCCCTAGGTGGCCTCAAGTCGTCGACTCTTCCCCGAACGTACGAGTGCCCGGCGGAGCCGGTGAGCCCGGGGGAATACGTGAACATCGAGTTCGGAGACGTGCAGACTGCCCAGGCGGTGGTGGATGCGCAGCGGAGGCTCAGCTCGGCCACGCGTCTCGCCGCACGGGCCAACTACTCAATCGTTCCCGACTGGAGCGGCGGCAGGAACACAACAAACACCAACGCAGCAGCAGCAGTAGCAGCAGCAAACTCTGTCGTGAGTCCACTTGCAGCAGCAAGGGGTAATCCAGCTGGGGCCAGCTACGGAGCGAGACCCGTACAAAACGGCAACGCAAGCTCGGATTATATGTCCGCCTCGAACGTCGGCGGTCTTAATTACGGTGGCAGAGTCAATCCGAACGTCGGCGTCGATTACGCGTCTCTGCACATGGGCCTCGGGTGCGCTCCGCTCGAGCAGGAGACGGACGGCGACTACACGGAGATGCGCTTCGGCGTGACGGCGCCGAGCACGGCTCCTCTCGGTCCGCCGAGCAACCACTCCAACCTGGAGGGCTCCAAGGGGCTCACAAGCCCGACGTCGAGACTCAACCGCCTGTCCTTGATGGACCAAATGACTGCCGCCTACCCGGTCCCCAACCCGGACCACGGCGCAAAGGTCATCAGGGCCGACGCTCAGGGGAGGAGGAGGCACAGCTCCGAGACGTTTTCGTCCACGACGACCGCATCGGCCGCCTTGGGGTCGGGTGGAGTGTCCCCAGCGATGCCAACGTCCACCTCTCTGCTGTCGCCGTCATTCTCTAGCGACTCAAACCGCCTCGGCTCTGCCTCCTTCGAGAGCGTCTACCTGAGAGACGCCGCAGGATGTCCCGCGGGAGAATCTGCAGATCACGGCGGCATGTCGAGAGAGTCCGGATTCGAGAACGGGCTCAATTACGTGGCATTGGAACTGAGCAGCGAAGAGTGCCAGAGGGCAGCTGCTGCTGCTGCTGCCGCTACCGCTGTCTCTACTGCTGGCCTGGACGGGGCAAGGGCCAATGCCAAGGGCAGCAGCACAAGCGTCGTGGATTCTGGAGCTTACGCAAGCATTGACTTCGCCCGCTCCGACGGCGGGTGTCCTCCTGCGCAAGAGAGTGAGTTAACGTCACGTCCCATCGCGCATCGCACTCGCCACTCGCTCGCAACACAATGCCAGGGTTTTATGGGCGATAACTGCGGACGGTGACGGTACGCGCAATGTAAAGGTTTCCACGTTTGTCTTTCACAGCAGTCGTTTTTTTGTTTAAGTCACGCCGTCATTGAATGTGTGCAGGACTTAGGGGCCCGATTCGAGCGATAACTCAAAGACGAGAACGTACAACACTGTACACGTCTCGTGATGCCCGATTTAGATTTGGCCCGAGCGAATTGTATGCACTGTATGTTGAACTTCTTTCGCGCCGTACGTAGCCAACCACGCTCATCGGCGGTGTGCCCAGTTTTATCGTGGTGTTCACGTGCGTTTAAACAAATCACCCGTTTCTGACATGTGCACTGCACTCGACCGAACGCCGGCTGTCATGGCAAAGGTTTGTAATCGTCAGCAATTTCACAACTGTACGATGTTAATATACCAAGGGACACTCTATCTCAGTTTATCAAAGCGCGCGTGTGTTGTGGTGCATGTGTTAATTAACAGAAATAGTTACGGTCTTGCGAAACCGATTCATTGTGAGCATTAACTCTTAACGCAACCTCGATCTGGTTTCGCGGCACCAGCCGACACCGATCATGTCGTCTCGCAGACTCGTCCACTATTGCGCTGATGTATCGGTCACATCCAACACTCGATGTTCCAATAAAACCCCCCATCGCTGTCCCAATAATATTCATGTCACGGTGGCAGCAGCAGCAGTCAATGCTATTTCTGACCACTCAGTCCCAGCCATCGTGGAATGATACGAATGGAAGTGGCGCCCACAGTTTTGTTATATTTTTACTTGACTGCCAAAGCAACGCGAGAGGTAAGGAAAGGTCAGGATTTCCATGGACGCTATAAAATCTTGGCAAGCGGTAAGTGACGCCGGTGTGTCTGTGTTACGAAATATTAAGGCACGCGTCCAGGCCTCTTATAAAGCAGCAATCCTTGTTAACCGGAGTATCTGATTACCTGAGAGTCCACCATGGAAATTAAATTAACATATCTCTCGTTCTCTGCGCTCAAAATAGCCCTGCAGTATATTTTTTTTTTCGGCGTCTGTCCAGTTTTTATTTAAAGCTGTTCAAGACGAGCAACGACAATGATCACGTTGCTACTTTGATCGATCTGCAAACACAACAATGAAAGAGGGCAATATCGCCTCGAGGATTTTGTCAGCTTTTTTGGTTTGTCTTGCTCGGATGTGAAAAGCAGACAACTCACAGGTGCGATGTTTATTTAAAGGAAGAAAAAAAGCAGATCACATCGAGGCTGCGATCTTTGGTTAAACGGGAACCTGCGTCCCAAACAAACCTAAATCCGAAAATTATCCGCGAATGACTCAGTTGGGATTATACTAAACAGTCATCGCCCACGACATGTCGACTGGTTGTGGCTTGCAGGCCAGGTGGCTGCCGCTTGGGGTGCCCTTTCGGATGTGATTATGATTACATCCGAAGCAGGTACAGCCCATGACAACAGTTCCCAAACATGTGGAAGTGTCACGTAGTAAAAACAAAGCCACTAAATCTTGACTGAAAGCTTTCGTGACTGCAGGAATCCATATTCATTGGGTCTTTCGGTAAAGTCACGTAGATAGGTTCAAAGAAAAATAACAAAAAACTACGACGTTTCGATCACGATCGCTTGTGTTGTGATCGAAACGTCGTAGTTTTTTTTGTTATTTTCTTTGAACCTATCTACGTGACTTTACCGAAAGATCCAAAGAATATAAAAACAAATCGACTCTCAAATTACTGTAGATGTAAGACCAGACAAAACATGTGGCGTGCACTATCAATGATACATAAAACAAGATTAAGACCACAAGATAAAAAAAGTGATTATCAAAAAATGTACAGTCTGTTTGTCCAGGCCATGAGTAATCATCCGTCCACATTCGTGAAAGGAACATGCTAAGGTTGCAGTATTAACGCTCGACACATCACAGGGGAATGCCGTGGTGCGTTTGAACTCGCAAATTGCTTAAAGCCGGCACGAGAAAACCGGTGAAACGTTCTGCTAATTCCTTGGTTAAACCCTTTTTAGATGTGTAACTCATCATAATCACGAGGAGCGCCGTTGTGGGGAACTGAGACCACATATTGTTAAGGGAGAGAGAGGGGGTGGGGGCTTGCATGTCAGATCGACAGTTCACCAGCATTGATTCAAGCAAGCCTCGCTGCTGATGGGACACCAATGCCGAAACCGGTCCGGAGTGTGCTTCTCCAGAATTGAATGCCGCTGCAATTATACACTCCCGTAAACACGGCCGTGGGTTGTTTTAAGGAATACGTGTATTTTTGCACATGTACAGAGACGGATATACGAAGGGGGCCTAATGTCTGCTCGTGCATATTTGTTCCTTTTGAATGCGAACTTCGACCAATGACATGCCAATTCACTGTTTGCGTGGGTTCAGAAGCCCATTTCTTCCCACCCCCACATATTGGCAACGTTTAAAATCGGGGGGGGGGGGGTGGACGGATGTTTGTGGCGGTTGCAAAGGCAGCAGCAGCAGCAACACCAACAACAACGTTGGGACGAGCCAGTCACGGTGAGAAGCTCTCCCTCCCACTGTCCACACCTCGGCTGGAATGTTTGCGTGCTTAGTCATGGGTGGGAGGAGGAGGAGGAGGGGGCCCTTAATGGGAAAGTCAGGTTCTCTGCCCCCCCCTCCTCCCCTTAAGAATTCAGTCGTTTGTGTGGCTTTGCTGTTGTGGGGTTTGTACACAAATCCCTAGCCGCCACCACTACCACCCAACCAACCAGCTCCAACCAAACCACCCAGTCGAGATGGTTAGTTGCACAAGAGGTTGGACCTTGCTGCCTTCACCCGATACAGTACCGCCGCTGCTGCTGTTGTTGTTGTGTTGAATTGCGTTGGGCATACATCTTCTGTGTTTTATTTCGCCGTGACTGTGTCGTCCCCACAGGCTTCATTCTTGGTTTGTAGTCTCGCAATGCCCTTTTGCCAGTGTCACTGCTGGATGATCACTCTCGCTCGCCAGCACCCCACGCCAATGAATGGTAGCTAGCAGCGCACAAGGGCAGGGCTCCAAAATGTCTCCTCGTCTTCTGTAAACAACATCATTAATCACGTAACGAGCAGACTGCACCTGAGCGCTTTGATGTGTCACGGCGATAAAATATTTTCGGGGGCCCTCGAAGTGAATGAGAAGAGCCAAATGCAGGGGACAAAGGTTTAGGACATTTTGTATCTCGAATTACATCTCTGCTCTATGCGTAAAACTGCAACAACCGCTGTTCATTGACGATGCCGCTTATAGTGGCTTCCATGCGTCACCACAAAACTAGTGTGTGTGTGTGGTTTTGTCTTTTGTGTGGTCTTGTGGGAAGCGGTGGCGTAGGGGTTAGAGCGCTGCGCCACAAACCCGGCCACCCGAGTTCAATTCCCGCTCATGGTCACTGCCAGCGGCGATTGCTTGAACCGGTCCTGGGCCACCCCTAGGTCGACTCAGCCTCAAATGAGTACCTGGTGCGGTGTGTAGTAAACATCGCCACTGGGGAGACAAAGGCGGCCGGGCGTCGTGCTGTTCCACCCCACCCCTTCGTGTGCCGTGACCCACCTTCATAGGTGCTACTCGCTAACAGCACTCGCTTCAACGGTATGTTAGGGCTACACGGGGGATCTCTGTGTTTCGGTAGAACTGTGGACCACCCATACACCCACTGGTCTAAATTTGCATTTGATGTTTTTTTTATTCTTCTATGGTGTGGTCGTGCCGCGTGCCAGCTTCGACTGGAATTATTACAAAAATCTTCCGGGTACACAACGGCGTTTTGTGGACAAGGGGATTGAACTGCCTTAACCTTCACCATGCCCCCCCCCTCCTCCTCATCCTTCCTTGTTTGCCACTGGATGTAACTCGCACAAGATGTTTGCTCGGGACATCTGCAGCAAGTATCCCACTGGTGGCAAATACCGTAGATGCTGTCTGTTGCACTGCTAGGCTCCTAGGACAGTGCTGGTTTACAGCTGGTGTCGGCTGCTGTTTTTTTGGGGAGATATTCTAACATTGTGGGATGGCGGTGGGTTCCGATACAATTTATTTAGACTACTGTAGGTATGTTCGTCCCACATTGAGGGCACGTTTTTGCTTTATATTTAAACTCGAACCGGGATCGTACCTACCGTGATTTGACTGCGTGAAAGTGGTCTTGGCTAGTGACATTTTCCTTAGAGCGCAAGGCTGGTCCTGAACGCAATCTGTAACCCAGATGTATGTGTGTGGAGCCACTCACTCAATGCTGCTTTATCCACAAACACATTTTCTCTGCCTAATAATATATCGTGGAGTTTCTTTTAACGATTTAAGCCAACGCTTCTAAGTATTGTGGTCCCGATGGTATAGCACCAGGATCTGTGCTTAAGATGTCTGCTGGAGAACTTGTACTATTTCTCAGTATACTGCAACTCTTCAGTTCCTCTTATTGTACTTAGCAACAATTATTCTTTGCCAAAGTTAAACCATTATTCTGCTCGGCACACAAACCTTATATGAACTCTTGGAATTGGTTATATTACAAATCTTGCAAAATTTGCATGCAAAAAGCTAGGTTTTATGTTCGGTTCCAAACCTTTCTTTAAATCCCACGAATTCTGACTGCGACTGTAATTTACTGTAACCACGGTTGGATTCCCGCGGTCACATCTGTGTGAAAAGCACCCACTTGCCCACCTCACTGCACCTGATGGAATCCAGAGTAAAGCAGCAGCCACTTGTCCTCCCGATCAACACCTCTAATGCTCTTGCTACGGTTACCGTTCCTGGAAACTTCACTCGATCATTTCCTCCACCTATGTTGAGCACTCCAAGGACGACAGTTTTCGTCTCATCCATACTGTGGCTCAGCCACCAATACGCGTGTGCGGGTCCAAAACAATTCGCTCATTTACGCGTCCACTCTCCCACAACACTCGGCACAGTCACA